CCCCCTCCCTCCCGGGGCCCGGTCCCGTCGGCGGAGAGCCCGCCCGGTTTAGCGCGGAGGCAGCCGGACCAGTTGTCAAGTGAATTTCAACACGTCCGTGTGATGGATAGAAACGCAAATTGTGTCTAGGCCTGCATAAAACAAATCCCCGAGTGCAGGTTCAGAGCAGGGATTCCCCTCCTCCCGCCCCTTTCGCCTTTTTTTTTTTAATACTTAAGCTCCTCTCTATTGTCCCAGCAGCAGCGGCTGAGTTAACTCTGTCAGGCTGCCTTTTATTTTTTTTTTTCTTTATTTATTTTTTTTTTTCCGGAGGGTTCTGTACGCCAGAGATAATATTTAAGTTCGCTTAAGCAGTATAAAATAAAAAGGATCCGGCATCATCACCCGCCACCGGCTCCCTCCCGGTTGGGCGGCCCCGCATTTTGGGCATCCCCCCGCCGAGCTGCCCCGGCACCGGAGGGACCACGGGTGTCTCCGGGGGGGGCTCCTGGCGAGCACAGCAAGAGCTTAAAGGGGAAAAAATAATCCCCCTTCTTTTTTTTTTTTTTTTTTTTTTTCTTTTTTCTTTTTTCTTTTTTCTTTCTATTTTTTTTTTCGCAACATTTTGTTCACAACTCCCGTCATAACGTGACCCAAAAAGCCAAAGGAGATTTGTCGTGCCCAAGGACTTACCCTAATTTGACATAGATGACTCCAAAGCATAGAAAAACGTAGAAAATCCACTTCCGAAAGTTTCTGTGCATGATCTAGAAAATGGACTGAGCCATAAAAAAAATTGCACGAAAAGTCGAACTGATCTTGTCGATTAAATCCCAGTCAAGAGCATTGCTGAAGCTACCCAGGAGCAAAGCCGGCCAAAATGTAAAAAATCAACACGGTGCAGACAAGCAGCTCTTCCCAGAGCCATGGTGACCGAAACCCGCTCCGATATTAAAGCTAAAAGAGGGAGGGAAAAAAAAAAAAAATAGAAAGAGCTGCTCAAAACGATAAAACAAAAACCCAAGACAGACAGTCTGAGGAGAGAAAATGAGCAAGCACTGATCTTGATCAACTGCCTCATAGAGCCCTGAAGTTCAATGTGTTTTTACTTGTTCTGACTTCCCCAGGTAACACTACGTATCTTGCAATCTATGGCTCCAGGTAGGAGGATCTCTCTCTCTCTCTCTCCTCTCTCTCTCTCTCTCTCCTGCTCTTCCCCCCACCCCGTGTGTGTCAGGATTTAATACATATCTTATCTGTCTGTGTGCGTGTGCGAGTTATGCCTCTGTTTGTGTTGCAGAAGGCATGTCCTTAAAGCCGGAGTGTTGGGGAAAACACACTAAACGTCTCCAATAAGGGAAATAAAGGACTCGTCCTCTCAAACCGAAGCATTTTTTCATTTCCTCTAGTATGGTAACGTGGCTGGATTTGCAATGTATGGACTTCGAAAAAGAGATTGTCTTTTTTTTTTTCCTTTCTTTCTTTTTTTTTTTCTTCCCCCTCTTCTTTCTAATCAAAAAGATGCAGGCTTTAACCCTTGTTGGCTTACAGCTTTATATCCTTAAGGGCGATGTATGTGTGTGTGTGTGTGTGTCCAGACCATTCCTCTCTGGCCATCTGACCCTGCTGTACCCAAACGCCTGACACTAAATTTGATTTCATTTTCCACAGTAAGAAAACACTCTCCCTCCTTTAAGAAACAAGTACACTTGGCTTTTAACGCGAGTTTATAATATTGAGTTTGCTGCTGCTCCCGGGGAGATCAACCGGTGAGGCAAACCCTCACTTGGCGTTCAGACACTAACAAACAGACAGGGCTTCCTTTTCTTCCTGCCTTTTCTTTCTTTCCCTCTCTGTCTTTTCTTTCTTTCTTTCTTTCTTTCTTTCTTTCTTTCTTTCTTTCTTTCTTTCTTTCTTTCTTTCTTTCTTTCTTTCTTTCTTTCTTTCTTTCTTTCTTTCTTTCTTTCTTTCTTTCTTTCTTTCTTTCTTTCTTTCTTTCTTTCTTTCTTTCTTTCTTTCTTTCTTTCTTTCTTTCTTTCTTTCTTTCTTTCTTTCTTTCTTTCTTTCTTTCTTTCTTTCTTTCTTTCTTTCTTTCTTTCTTTCTTTCTTTCTTTCTTTCTTTCTTTCTTTCTTTCTTTCTTTCTTTCTTTCTTTCTTTCTTTC